TATTATCTGTATATTGTGAGAAATACAATATTATTGTTTTCAGAATAATGATAAATTGAAATTATTATTATCTGTATATTGAGAGAAATACAATATTATTGTTTCAGAATATTGATAAATTGAAATTATTATTATTATCTGTGTATTGTGAGAAATACAATATTATTGTTTTCAGAATAATGATAAATTGAAGAGTATAATTATTATCTGTATATTGTGAGAAATACAAATTTATTGTTTTCAGAATAATGATAAATTGAAGATTATTATTATTATCTGTATATTGTGAGAAATACAATATTATTGTTTTCAGAATAATGATAAATTGAAGAGTATTATTATTATCTGTATATTGNTAGAAGAACCTCTTCAACATCCTCGTCCAGCTGCTCAGACGGGTCAACTTCTTTCACCAGCTCTCCTAGCCTGAAACAAACATTATCAAGTTTACATATTCTAAATATCCCGGAATATCATAAATTGATTGATAACTTCAAAGTCGTCTTTGACCAAAGAAAAATCTTGCTCCATTCAACATAGGTAAGTTGATTTAAGCAATATTTTTTTATGAAAAAAATAATCACAAAATAGCCCTAATCCTGCCATTTCCAAAATGTGGTCCGCCATTTTTTGCTCTCGAAAATACATGAGATATTAAGAATTTGGTTTATAAATTTAAATTGATTAAATAAAACCCATCAAAATGACTCATTCTGAACGAAATCATTCATATCTCCGGTAGTTATGAAAGCAAAAAATGGAAGACCACATTTTGGAAAGTGCAGGACTAGAGATTTTATGTGAATATTGTTTCATAAAAATACATTGCAAAAATCAACTTTATGTTGAATGCCGCATGCTATTTCAAAGGTCAAAGACGACTTTGAAGTTATCAATCAATCAATATTATTCCGGTTTATTTAGATGTCCAAGTCTGGAGATATCTCTGATTTGCCTGGAAACCTGGCCAAGATGTCCAAGTCTGGAGATATCTCTGATTTACCTGGAAACCTGGCCAAGATGTCTGTATCTGCCATCAAAGTTGAAAAGAACTACACCATTAAACTAAAGATCAGCTACACCAAAAGCTTATCCTGCAATTATGATATTGGTTTCTCCAAGGATGCGTTGGTTTGTAACTGTAGTTAACATTGGTACTGTAGTACACAGTGCAGGGATCAATGTAAGGATAAATATTGCCTTCAATGTCAGAATCTTGTCAGCTGTACATCTCTAGACTCATTCTATTTTGAGATCCTACGTTATTATGACATGGATTCTCTGAACATGGTTAAAGAGTACACAAGTTCTCAAGAAGGAGTATCCAGGAAGGATATGAAGAAGCTGGCTGAGGCAGGGGACTGGAAAGCTGCTCTGATCATAGGTTTAACCTATGAGTTCATGTTTGTCCTTGACTGGGATGAATGTGAGCTAGCAATCCGTCCTCCACCATTCTAAAGTTTTAGCTCTGGAGATATAAAATATTAGATCTGAATCATGCAAATATGTCCTGAATAGTCGTACATATATGAATAAATCAAAACTTGTCCTGAGCTACTTTTTATTCATTTTTTAATAATTTTTACAGAAAAGAATGGGCCCCGAGGTTGTTACTGTTCACTTAGAACCTGGAGAACATAAGTCCCAGCTCCAGGAACAATTATCTATCCTTCACACAAACCAGCTCTTCTCAGATACCAGGTAGTCCCCCCTCCTCCTCCTCCTTCACACAAACCAGCTCTTCTCAGATACCAGGTAGTCCCTCCCCTCCTTCTTCACACAAACCAGCTCTTCTCAGATACCAGGTAGTCCCNGAAAGTTCAGATAATCTCCCGCCTTAAAGATGTAATTCAAATATGAAGAAATCCATGAAGTATAACAAAGGTAAAGTAACTAATTATCTTTACAATTGTACGGATTGTACGATTTTTTTCAAAAAAAAAATGTACGGATTTTACGGATTTTTTCCCAAAAAAATTTACGTAGTGTAGGGATTTGTTCTGAAAATGTACGGATTTTTGTTCATTTCTCAAGTTTTTTATTCTTATTTCTTAATGAACACAGATTTCTAGTGATACCAAACTAAAATAAATCTCTTCAGCATATCTCAAGTTTCTATGCTCATTTCTTAATGAACACAGATTTCTAGTGATACCAAACTAAAATAAATCTCTCCAACATATATCAAGTTTCTATGCTTATTTCTTAATAAACACAGATTACTAGTGATACCAAATTTTATTAAATGTTTTTCAATATTTCTCGAGTTCCGTAAAAATTCCGGTTTTGTAATTGACACATTTTGAAGGCGTACACAGAATTCATAGTTTGAAATATCTAAGGTCTACAACATTGTGTTGTTAATATATAGAAAATCAGAGTTTTTTTTTCATAAATATAGAAAATCATCTGGTGATGATTTTTTAATTTGATAATTTTAACTCTTTGATAAATGTTTCAATATTATTTAGATTTATTAGATCTTTTAGATAATCTGAATTTAAAAGATAAACAGGGGTGTATATAATTCTGGGGGGAAAGAAATCAAAGACCCAAGATGAGGGGAAGGGAAGGAAAAAGGGTAGGGCAAAGGGAAGGGAAAAAGGAAGGAAAAGAGAAAAGAAAGGAGGAAAGAAAAAAGGGGAAAATGGGAGGGGGGAAATAAAGGGAAAAGGGGAAGGGTAACAGCGAAAAAAAGGGAAGGATTGATAAGGAGGAAAGGTAGGAAGGGGGAAGGGTGGGAAGTGGTTAGGTAGGGAAGAGGAAAAGTAGGTACGGGGAAGGATGGTTGGGAAAGGGGAAGGATGGTAGGGAAAGAGGAAGGATGGTAGGGAAAGGGGAAGGTGGAGAGGGAAAGAGGAATATAGGGAACTACAGAAGGGAAAAGGGAAGGTAAAGAGGAAGGTAGAGTAGATAGGGAAGGGGAACGAAGGAGAAGGTAGAGAATCGTTGGAAGGTTGACAGATAAAGAAGTGAAGGAAAGGGGAATATTGGGAAGGGAAGGGCTGGACCTCTTTACCTCTCATAACTACAAACCTTTATCTAAAATCAGAGAGTTTTCATAAATAATTTTCCCCATTATTTATAATGCTCACTACTCAATAATT